TTGACCTAGCATTGTGCCACACCTGTGCGTATTTACGACGATGACGTGAGTTTTTCCTTCCTTCCTGTCCTTAATGGGCGCTGTTTTCCGCAGGTGACGTGCAAAACACGTTATAGCTACGGACAACTCAAATGAGAAAGACTTAGCGATATAGCTGCAACAGGTTCTTTCGTTTCCACCAGTGCGATTAAGACCGGCATGATTTCAGCTCCGCTCTTTAGTGCGGAGCTTGACCAGCCTTTCGTAATTGCGTAATATACCAATGGGAGAGAATGCGCTCTCGGGTTATCCCTTGCGGAAGCTAATAACAAACAGAGTTTGACTTCCCAAATTTACGTTAACATTATGAGGGGCACCGTAATGGAGGGCTTCGGAAAATTCGACCACCTGGGGTTCTTTGAAGTGCACCTAGATATAAGCGCACGAGCATCTTGATACCTTTAGCTTCCGTCGAAAAAGCGGCCACCCCGGGCGGCATTCGAACCCGAGAACTTTCGGTCGAAGGTCAAGCATGCATCATAACCACTAAACCACCGCGGTAGGTATACAGGGGGGGATCGAAGTTTCGCAGGCCACTATCACGTAAGCGTGGCCTGCAAACTTTTGACCAACACTGTACTTTGTGATTTCTTGTACGCGCTTAACTTATAACGCGACTGCATAGTTCATCCAACACCGCTGAACAAAAAAACGCACGCGCAAAGTCGAGCCACGAACTACAGACACCGTTTTCCGCCGCGCACACCAGCGGGCTTAGCGCGCGGTGAAAGTAAAATTTCGAGACAGAAGAAATATAGCGCGTACTCGTCCAGGCAAGCAGCAGCAAAAAGCCAGATTCCAGCCCATGGCACAGATTCTCGTACAGCTCGTGCAGTCAATTCGGTTCACGCGTATACGCAGGGTTAAGCCGCTGCGAAGTCAGCTGGTTTCACTCGGCGCGCAAACGGCGCCAGCTGTTTCCGCATTGGGGATTACAACGCGGTGGCCGGAAACGCATACTTTTTTTTTTGTTTCTATCCACTTACATACACGCGCCCCCACGTGTGGCCCCATTAAAAGTCAGCCACTAATCGGTTGCGGCGGCATATCGTGGTCCTATACGATAAAAATACACTGCGTGTGCGCGCGTTTATAAAAGAGTTGGCGCGTGCGTATGTTTGTGTGCGAGTTTCATAACTACATCCGCTCATTTGTACGTTTGTGCGCGCACGTTTTCAGGTGTTCGCGCACACGCACCTGTGATGGAGTGTTTAGGAAGTCCTCCGCAAACGGTGGGCGCTATCGTTCATGTGCTCTCTCGTCATTTTTTTCCGGTGTTAATCTGCTCTTTATAATCCATTCTAGGTTCATCTGCTCTTCTATCATCTTGTCTAGTGTTCATCTCCTCTTGTATCCTCTTGTATATAGAGTTCATCTGCTGTTTTGTGAGTTCTTTCGCGTGTTCAACTGCTCTTTTGTCATCTTTTCTCGCGTTCATCTGCTCTTCTATCATATTTTCTAGGGTTCATTTGCTCTTTTATCCTTTTTCCAGAGTTCATCTGCTGTTATGTCATTTTTTTATACTGTTCACCTGCTCTCTTGTCATCTTTTCTAGTATTCATCTGCCCTTTTGTCCACTTGTCTAGAGATCATCTGCTGTTTTGTAATTTTTTCTACAGTTCATCTGCTCTTCTATCATCTTGTCTAGTGGTCACGTGTTTAGAAAAAGATGTTTAACAGTTTTGAGTATTTGGTACTCAACCATGGGAGAGAAGTAAGCCGTCCCTACGTCGCGCCATAATATTCGATGTGTTCATGTGTGTTCACAAAATGTGGATAACGATATAGAGTAATAGGTACTCTACTATGGGAGAGCATAAAGCCATCCCTTGGGCCTCACCCTTTTGATGAGGCCCTCAATCTGCGGACAATAGTAGATTTTGCTTTGTCACGCGCTCTTGTATCCTCTTGTATAGAGTTCATCTGCTCTTTTCAATTTTTTTTCTTGTGCTCATCTGCTCTTTTGTCACCTTTTCAAGTGGTTATCTGCTCTTTTGTCATTTTTTCAACAGTTTATCTACTTTTTTGTCATTTTTTTTTCTATTGTCCATCTGCGCTTTCGTGATTTTTTTCTCGTGTTCATTTACTTTTTTGTCATTATTTCTTCCAATTATCTGAATCGTTTTGCGATTGCCGATTTCATGTTCTATGGCATCTTTTCTACTGTTATTCTGCTGTTTACAGTTCTGTGCACCGTGCGTATAACTCAAGACGCTGGTGATTTACCTCCGCTTCTCTCTTGCGTGGACGTGTTTGTAACTCGCAACGCTGGCGTTTCGCTGGCTCAGACGGACTAATGAGCCCTTTGGCGACGTTTGCCTCTACGGTAAGCAAGCGCCGGCGTTCAAAAACACGCAGCCTGCTCGGTTCCCGAGTGACGAAAGTCAGACCTGCAAGACATCAACGCGAGACACGAGACGAAGACAGGGCGGTTCCTCAAAAACTGCTCCGCACTTAGAAGTAATCATCCATGGGGGTTCCTCAAGTGCCGAATCCTAAATCATACTCTAAGAACTGTGGCTTTTTTATACAGGTGGCAGTCACATGTGTACCACTCTCTTTAGATAGTCACCTTGACTTTCTATAGAAAAGCCGCGGAATATACCACTCTTCAAGAGTTGATTGATTGATTGATTGATTGATTGATTGATTGATTGATTGATTGATTGATTGATTGATATGTAGGGTTTAACGTTCCAAAACCTCCATATGATTATGAGAAACGCCGTAGTGGCGGGCTCCGGATAATTTCGACCACCCGGGGTTCTTTGACATGCACCCGAATCTGAGCACGCGAGCCTATAATAACATTTCCGCCTCCAATCGGAAATGCAGCCGCCGCAGCCGGGTACACTTCAAGAGTCACAGTGCGTGACACTCCCAAAGAGTCGCACACAGTGACTCTCTTTTGTCACAATGTTCAGGAGAGTCGTGTCACACATCGTGACTCTCTTTAGGAGTTGTCAGTATTTCGGACCACCAACGTATCCACTCTCTAGTCAAAAGACAGGCGCTCTTTCAAGAGTCGCAACACAGTGATCTGTGTTTTGGAGGACCAAATAAAAGTTTATCCAATCCAATTTCAAAAGTGCATAATTATGAGGCTCGACGTATACCAGAGAAAAAACGCGTACACCAAAATCAACGAGCCCTGGTCCAACCAGCGAAAACACCACACGCTCGTGTCGACCCCGCGACGCAAACGTAGCGCGGGCGTCGAAGGCCCGACAAGCAACCTCGGCGCCCGCACTGAAATCGGAGCAAATATCCGGGGAAATGATTTCTCTTCCTTTTTCCCCAAAGGACGCCCGGATGGCATCGCGGTACGCTATACAGTCAGCTAGCGAGCCAGCCAGTAAGCCGATCTCCCTAGGAGAGACCCGCGCACGTGTTTGTGCTTCCTCGCGTTCTTTGGCAATGCTTCTCGACAGAACGCGCCTGCGCGCCTTCGCGTCGAGCCGCCAATAAGTGACGACGGGCGCTGCCCTCGAGTCTGCTCCGACGTCTCCATCGGAGTAAACAGCACGTAGAATGCCGAGCCTTCGAAAGTTCCTTCTTGGAGGAAGAAGATGAAGAAACCAGGCAACGACACCCACACACAGCTGAGCCGAAGGCGTTGATTTTCGCCCTTCGGGCACACGCGCATCTTCCCTTCTTCTCTCTTTAGAAGGCGAAGGAGAGATAGGGGGGAAGCCTTCATACTTCATCCTTCTCCTCTTCCCCTGCACCCCCGGAGCAATAATGGAATGCGCGAGGAATGCCGTCGCGATCCCTCGATAGTGTATAACATACACGAGCGTCGTCTCAATCTCTTCGTCTTACAACCTCTCCCTTTCGTCTTATTCCCTACCCTCTCCCTCTCATTCGCACTCACTTATCGTCGTCAGCGGGCAGCTTAACGTCGCCGAGACGCGTTCGCGGCGTCGCACGCACACAAGAAGAAACGTCGTCGGAGGCGCTCGAAGACGCGAAGGCATTCCGACGATGCGCCCTGGAGGGATAGTTGTTGCTCGCATGCGCGCGCGCTAAGAAGCTCGTTCGTCGCACTCTCTTCCGCCTTTCAGAAGCGCTGTCAATTTGTACGTTTTTTTTTTCTTATCGCCTCGCCCGATTTGTTTGTAGTCGGCACTCGGGTTTGGCGTAAGCCACAGGGAGCGCCGCGACAAACAATAATGGAAGGTGAAGTGCGTATAGGAAAAAAAGAGAGGGACACTAATTCGCGACGCGACATTGGAATGGCCGCGACGTACGTCGTTCGCCGAGCTGAAAAGTTATCTCCTAGGCGATCGCACATAGTTACGCGCGGAAATTGCCAGGGAGAAGTGTGGCAGCTGCAATCGTTCCGAACGTGGTGATAATGTGTAGTAATAAGAGAGCAAGGGAAGGGGGTGAATGTATTGTTGGAACTCAGACGTTTTCGTCTGCGAGTGTATGCTGACTCGTACGATTACTTGCATACATATGGGGTGGGAACTATAGACAACTTTTCTTAGCTGAATAAAAAATAACACAAAATGCTCAAGCACATCCAATGGTGCCGTTTAAATAGGTTTTGCAAAGTGAAGCGATCCCTGGTTACAGCTCTCCTAAAACATGGAACTTTGAGAGTTACCAGAATGCCGTACACCTCACGCATTCACGTAATCCCTGATGATGGACAGCTGCAACGTTAGTGCTACGTCATTTGGTTACGTATTAAATAGCAACGTATAATATAAACTACACTCTATTTGCAGGATCTTCTACGTATGGTTGAACAATTTTAGTTGAGTGTGTGCAGCCCGCACCACATGGATTAGCTTATAAACGCACTGTTAAAAAGCACTCATTATTATTATTATTATTATTATTATTATTATTATTATTATTATTATTATTATTATTATTATTATTATTATTATTATTATTATTATTATTATTCAGCAATGTTTGATTGAAAAAAAATAAACATTGCGACTTACCACTTTCACCGGCCCGAACCAAAGAACTGTAGAATGGGCAGAAGATGATGCCTGAAAAAAAAGAGGAAAAAAAGTAAGAGCACAGCTTATACAAAGACTGCCTGATATACTTGGTTATGATTCTATGGGAATGTGTCGTACAAACAAACAAACGCACAAAAACATTTAAATATAACACCCTGACTAAATAATTTCCTCTATCTTAACATCAGAACTACCACAATGTTCGACAGATTCAAATCATAGCGAAATACAGCAACATAAGAGGCACTTCAATGTATTAGCACCGAGCAGTGAGCACCTAAACGAAAACCTTGTACATCTTATTGTACTCAAACAGAGCGATTGGCCTTGGCGTTCGAAGGCAGTGGAACCTGCAATCGGTGGACGTTGTACGTAGCAGGTTAAGCTAAATTCACTTGACGAATGAAAGCGCAATCTAAGTCCACGGATTGCGCTCCACTTGACCTTACGTCGCCCTTTCCAGCAGTGCTACATAAGTGAGGGCCAAGCGATTCGCGCAACGACGGCGAACCAAATCGCGGCGTCGGGATTTTTCGGTGAAAAATGGCGAAAATCCTCCCACGGTGTGACGAATTACGAGCGGTAGCTGTTCGGAACGATCCCCAATCGCGTCGTAATGTCACGTGACTGACTCATCCGGGATCACGTCGGCAGTTTGAATACATTTTAAAGCGCGCACGTGCGTACACTTTCACCTTCAACGCGATTCACCAACACACCTTGTAATTACGACGCGCTCCAATTATTGCGCGTCCGGCAGGCGCGATCGCGCATCATTCGTCAAAGCTAGCTTTCCAGCCGCACCGAGCTTTGTAAGGAGAAGCCCACGCTCCAGTGACCACATTCATTTTTCGAGTGAAGCGCGTACGTGCATGACCCGAAATGGACACACCGCGTCTACTAGACGGTGTACTTCCGGCTTGGTTCGCAAATGAAATCTATCGTCTGCGCCATCAGTAAGGACAGCAGTAATTTATCGTGTATGAACGTACACTCTAAAGTTAACAATGAAGTTGTTTACTACTACTACTGCTCTAAAGTTAACGCAGTAAAAGGCGAACATGGGGAGCCTTTTCTGCCGCACAACGACAATCTACATTTACCTCCGAGTGCTCTGAGCGCGCGGTACTTCAAGGACACGAACCCGCAACGTGACACACAGCTACATTTACATAAATTTAGCGGGTGCACAGTTTCAGCAGGTATATAACAGCTGTATCTTGCCGGTACTTAGCTACGGAGCAGAAACCTGGAGACTTACAAAGAAGGTTCAGCTTAAATTGAGGACGACGCAGCGAGCAATGGAAAGAAAAATGGTAGGTGTAACCTTAAGAGACAAGACGAGAGCAGAATGGATTAGAGAACAAACGGGGGTTAAGGATATCATAGCTGAAATCATGAAGAAGAAATGGACATGGGCCGGGCATGTAACGCGTAGACAGGATAACTGCTGGTCGTTATGGGTAACTGACTGGATTCCCAGAGAAGGCAAGCGGGTTAGGGGGAGACAGAGGGTTAGGTGGGCAGATGAGATTAAGAAGTTTGCGGGTATAAATTGGCAGCAGCAAGCACAGGACCGGGTTAACTGGCGGAACATGGGAGAGGACTTTGTCCTGCAGTGGACGTAGTCAGGCTGATGATGATGATGATGAGTTTTCAACAAAAAAAAATGCAAGCATGCCAGACAACGGCTGTTGTTGTGTGGCAGGAACAGTGACAGAAGTGACTTACAGCTTTTCGGAGCAAATTTAGCAGCAAAAAAAAAGAAGAAAAGAAGTCACCATTTTCACGCAGCCATAATTGGTATAGGAGCAGGAGAAATGTATTTGGAGCAGCTACTGGTGTTTCAGGATCGGCTGGAAAAATATTTCATGCCACTCCTGGAGTTCAAAGTGACTATCCAGACAGTGGAATAACGCACGGAAAAACCTTAACATCCGCGCTCCCTTCGTCAAAGCCTTCCTTCGATACAAGCTAGCGGAGCTCTTACGTATTTCTCCGCTTGCCTCAACAAAACTCGCGTACCCTTACAAGGAAAGCACTGGGCCCCACTCTAGGAACTTCTCTGAAGGCTTCCTGAACGTGCCGTCGGCGATACACACGTTCGTATATACAGAGTCCCTGGCAGCAGGTTCAAGCACAACCCCTCCCCATCCCCCCTCGCAGTCATGGCATGGTCCACGGTAGCAGTTACATATACACGGTACCACTCCCCACTCAGTAGCCAACACACGAGCGCTCGAAGCATCCATGTAAGAGTAACCGCATCGCACGAAGCGCATGCGCACTGGAGTCCCGCTGTGTATATACAAGATGAACGCAGCACACGCCGAGGTGGGTAGTCACGACCGTGGAGGGGGTAAGAGGCAAGCCCGCAGCATAAACAAGAGACGGAGCTCCGTCCGTACGCTAAACATCCCTCCCTGCACTCTAGTGCATTTCCTCTTCCGCTTGGGAGATCGCAGCCAACCAGAGAGTCGACAATGATGATAAAAGGGATTGAAAGCAGAGATGCTGAAGACAGTGCTAGCTCGAGTACAGGCCTTCGTCAGATAGCAATCCGCACACTAACAGCACTGGGGAAGGTTGGCGTGCACTGTGCTATAGGGTAGATATCCTCGCGAATAGAGCGGTTCCCTAATTTTCGTTCTCATTTCCATTCTTCATTATTGTTCGACATTCACATTCACCCATCGATATCCCAACGCTGTTCATATCCTTCGTTTAGTCCTAATCACCCACCAAATCTCTTCTTTTGTTGTTGTTGTTGATGTTGTTGTTTTTGTCGCATATGTGGCTGTTATCTACTCCAGCAAAAAAATAATTATCATTGAAATAAACATATTTGCACAGCGCAAGACTATAAGAGTAGTTACGACGGAACTACAGGTGAAGAGACAAGGACACAAACAGAGCTCCTTCTGTCCTTGTCTCTTCTCCTGTATAGTTACATCTTAACTACTCGTAGCCTTGCGCTGTGCATATATGTTGATTCCCAATCACCAACTAGCCCAAGCATCTGTCTTATTATCGAAAAATTCGTACCAAGCACACAGCTCATAGTGCCGCTTATAACCATGAAGCTAGAGTTATAGGCCGCTGACGGATGTCTGCCCTCCAGACGTCATCGCGACGACGACGGCTTTGAGGAGATGTTCGTGCGCTCTTGGTTTACCGTTGACAGTTACTGTCTGTTGCGGGAACATTACGCAAATCGTTTCGCGTGACGTTCAAGAGCGTCGATGTGCACTGGTACGACGCGAGCGCACACGCGCGAAGCTCTTAACGACGACGTCACGGTGAGCACTGTAATGTCTGAACCGGTCACTTCTGTCTTCCTATCAACGTTTGTTCTAACGCACAAACACACGAATGCACACACAAACACGCGTACACACATATTAGACTCAACGGGAAAGCTGTCTCATTGCGGCATGTCTCTCTCCATTCGTCCACGCTGTATTCCTCTACGGGTCAAGGATGCGTATCCCCACTGCGACTGCTTGCCGTTGTCTAATTGACCCGAACCCAGCCTCCCGGAAATAGTGCTTCACCTCTTGGTGATGTAGGCAGAACGACGTTCAAAAATACAGCAGTCTCGCGAAGAATGCACGCACAAGTAAAGTATGCAACATGGGAGCAATGTGGTGACTGCTGCACCGATCGTGTTGCCACTGCTCCCAAACGCAAAAAACGGCACCACAACCACCCCACCACTTGCGCGTGTTTGTATATTGGGCAATGGTCACCGTTATTAGTTAAGCTTTACTGGTAAACCAAGTTGCATATACTCAGGTCATACATGAAGATCGGACGCGAGCTATGACCAGATTGCTCGGTACACCTTCTTAGAAGACGTACTGCAGCTGGTTCACAGCTATAACGTAGGAGATACTACCTAATAAGTGACGACGCTCTAGGCTTTCCAATATTATGCGTTTTGGACTCTAATAGTCCCTTATGTAAGGCGACAAGCAAAAAAAAAAACAAAGCAGGAAGGCAGAAAATGTCGTGCATTCACCTTTCTTTGCATGGTAAAATCACCAAAAAGGAAAACGTTGCTTATCTACAACTCCAGCAAGATGTTCTGAAATTTAACACGTTCACGGCAACAGCTACGACTACCATACGCTAATTAATACCTACGGTTCAGCTCCTTCTACAACTACTGCTACATGTGCGACTAGGGCGCGTAGCCATGGGGGAGAGGGACTCGCTTGCTGGATTTCGAGCTGACCGGTCGTGCGCTCGCGCGCTCCGCGCGCTTGCGATCTCCCGCGTCAGCGTGGCTCTGGCCGACTGGACTCGCCCTACGTCATCTCCTGCCGCCGACGACCTTCCACCTCCGACGACAGTGCAGCTCTGATTTACTCGACTTGTTCTACGCCATCCACCGACGCCGAAAGGAGCTCTCGCAGGTGCGCCCCGTCCTCGGACTCCAGTGACCGTGCTCAATCTTTCTATCTCCTTCTTTTTCCTCTCGTTGGCTGTCTTCTTCTTCGTCTACTGACAGAAATTAGGTGCCTTTTTCCTCGTCCCCCCCTTCCTTTGCTCGCTCTCTCCTTTCTCTTTCCTCTCTTCGCTCAAGTCTTTTATCCCCCATTCCCCTTCCCATGTGAACCACTGCTGAGGTGTCGCACTTAGCTGCAGACAGTTGCGGGGTTCACTTTTCTTTTTTTTTCCAATCTTAAGAACCACTTCCCCCCCATGGGGGAGAGTTGAGAATGTTTTCGAGAGAATAAATAATGAAAATCGGTATTTTTTTTCCAGCGTCTTCAACATGTACCCCTCCCCTTACGAAAAAAAAAATTCTTGGTTACGAGTCCTGTGGGACTGCATCTCAATAGAATTTGAATCTATGCCGAAACCTCATAACAAGACGCCAGACGGCTAGATGAGCAATTTCGCAAGCCCATTTTCGTCAACCACGATGAGGAAGAAGTAAAGGAAAAGTACTCCTTTAAACCACAATTGCACGCGGTCGTGTAGGTCACTCCTTGATTCTTGCCCCTAGCGAGAGGTTAGCT